AAAAGAGGTGAAAAAAAAAAAAAAAAAAAAATCTAAGAACTTCTTATGCACCATTTTATATCAGAGAGCTACTTCTGAAGTTTAGTAGCCTCAATAAGAGAACAAAGCAGCCTGCCAAACTGTTTACTGAGTCAAAAGCACAAATGAGATATTTACCACACAGTGCAAATTTTAGGCAGATTATCCTCCACATAATAAAGTCAGTTTCTAACGATACCTATTTTATAGTAAGCAAAAGTTCATTATAAGGAGCTCTCAACTATAGATTAGGCCACTCTTCTTGGAGAAAATAAAATAAATTTATTTTAGTGGCCATAGACAAAACTAAACTCAATGCTTAACATTTATAACTGCTCTAGGCAGAAGAGTGAACTAGACCAATGTTTCTCATATTAGGACAGATACAGCCTAGGAAGGCAATATTAGCTGCCTTCCAACAATTTTTTAAATTTTGTGTTTTTAGGTGAAAATCTAAAATTAAAATATATCTGGTTCATCCGGATGACAATCTTATAAAAGCCTCCTCCCACTCAAATTCAGGGGCCCCAGTTACATCAATATTTATAATTGTACTGACACTAAGTTATCACCTCAATAATGTTTAACTTTTAAGACCATGTTTCTTAAAATTGGATTCTCAGTTTTCTTGGGACTTCACAAACTCCACATATGAAAAAAACCATGGGCTAAAACTCTGCTTCTCAATATTCCTTCCCCCTTTAATAGTCTGTATAGTCACTATGCACACATCATATTATTAAGAGTCTAAAATAGGTGTCAATCCTTGACATATTATAGGAACATTTACAAGTACAGTGAAACAGAATGGGACCTAACATAAATAATATCTAACCAATCCTCTCAAATGAAGAAAAACTACTTAAGATACAGTGCAATTTGCCAGCTTGCTATTATGACAGAGGAAAACGAAAACTCAGGATCCTATGATTCAGACTTAATTTAAAAAAAAAAAAAAAATCAAAACTCTTTTATCATAGAAGAAAATGATATCGTTGAATATTAAGACTTCATTTATCTAACATAAAAGTGTTTATTCATTGACATTCTGGTATAATAAACAATCCTTTAAGAGCTCCCTTCTCAAATTCTGTAACTTATTTCTTGATTCAGTGGTATTTTTTCTTTGCAACTATTTACACTTACGACACCAACTCCAAGATATATTTTTGACTCACCACAATTTATTTAACTATTTCTCTGCTCCTTAATAGTGGTGCTGCTTCTAATTATGGTTAAAGCTACAAAGATTATCTTCAAACTTAAATACTTTTCCTTATATTAAATTATACCCTTAGATTAATTCACAAATTATTCATTCGATGAATATGAACATTTTTATAAATCTTAATCCAAATCCCTTTCTACAGCAATAGCAATAATTTTAAATGCTACACACAGCAAAGAGCATATTAGCAACATCTGACTTCAACCTTACCAGTGGTTATTATTTTAAGTATTTTTCTCATTTAGTTGTATGTATACTATGGTATGACTGTTCTTATTTACATTTCACTGATTTCTATCATTGATAAATATTTTTCATGGTGTTTAGTATCTGTATTTCCTATTAAAATCCTTTATCTAGGGGCTCCTTAATGGGTTTTTTTTTGTACATTTGAAAGATCTCTTTATGAATTACAGACATTAACTATCATTTTTGTAATAATTTCCCCACTAAATTACTTCTCAAGGAACAGAGGTTTTACATTTTTATATATTTGGTATTATTTCAAAACACGAATGTTATTCTTTCACGTTAAGAAAAATACCATTCTATATTCTGCCACTTTAAAGAATATGTTAAACTAATTTTTAAAAATATTCTTTTGGTAGAAAGACAAAGTACATGATTTCACTTAAAGTGGAAGAATCTAAAAACATTAAACTCACAGAAACAGAGTAGAACAGTGGTTGCCCGAGGTCAAGGGGTGGGGGAAAGGAGGAGATATTGGTCAAAGGGTATAAACTTTCAATTATAAGAGGAGTAAGTTCCAGGGATCTAATGTGCAGTATGGCGACTGTAGTTAACACTAATGTGTTGTACACTTGAAAGTTGCTAAGGATATGGCTTTAATGTTCTCATCAAAACAACAAAATGGTAATTATGCGAGGTAAAGGATGTGCTAACTAACCTATTGTGGTAAGCATGTCATACTTTGTATGTGTATCAAATCATCTCACTGTATACCTTAAACTTATACAATGTAACATGTCAACTATATCTCAATAAACCTGGGAAAAATATCCTTTTGGAATTTGGTTTGAGAAAATAATCCGCATATGACTACAGCTAATAAATACATATAAACACACACATACACAGACATGTTTCTATAAGCAAGCTGCATATATCGGTATACTTAAGGTATTAATTTAAGGAAAAACATGATTTGGCATCTGGTATAAATAATATCTAACCGATCCTCATTTAATAATTATCTTCCATAAACAATATTTCATCCTTCTCTGCTCCCTGTATGGTAAATAATTTCAATGTGCTTAAAGTGAAGATGGAGCCCTTAAATTTTTTTATAAACAAAGGAAGGGATTAGAAAAAAAATCTAAGGAACAAACATAACATTATTTCAATTCAGATCTCATTGAGAAATAATGGTTTTTACCTCACAAAGTACATTAAGATTTTGAGGGGAAAAAAAAAAGTTTTCAGTAAACTACTAAAATTACAGTATATAAATTATATTAGAGTAATTCTGTGAAATGTATTATGTAAAGAAGAAAGCAAACTATGCTTTTATAAGTCATCATTTCATCCAAATAAAAAGTATTTTAAGCTCTAAGGTATAGTGTGGAAATCACCTTTAAAAAGGTAAACTTTAAAAAAAAAAAAGGGCAGAATAATACATACTAGCTTCTGGATAGTGGTTGCTTTTGGAGAGAAGGGAGAAAGGGGATATATATACACGCATGTGGTAGGTTTCAACTACATCTACATTTTCTTTCTTACAAAGATAAAACTTAAATATGGCAAAGTATTTAAACATTAAATTTGGGTGGTAGGCACATGGGCTCTATTATATTACCTGCACCTTTCTACAAGCTTGAAATACTTTACAGTTAAAAGTGATAAAGAATAGATTCTTATCATACATATTTATAGAATGAAGAGTCTAAAATATTAGAAAGAAACATATGTATCTATTAAGGTACTGAGCTATATATGCAGATTCCCATTTTCACAATCTCTACTGGCACACCGAGTTCACAAAGCTTAACTATTTTGAGATTACACATAAGAACTTACCCCTTTCTGTAATCGTTTCCTTAAGAAATCTGAACCTCCGGGCTTTTGTCCCAGATGAGGATACCTTGCTTTTAATTTTGCTTCTTCAGCTTTCTCGGGACTAGTCACTTTATCTTCCATTTCCTGAAATAATGTTAAATAAATTACTTCTCTATTATATTTCAGTTATTTAAAATAATTCAATTTTTAATTTCTGGATTCTGACTTTAGTTGTCAAATGCCATATAATGCAGTGTCTGACTAAGAAATCAAGCACAGGAGCTTTAAAAACATCTCTATCTTGTTTTTCAAATGATCCATGTGATAGCTCTATTATAGCTATGATGCATGTGTAACACCCCACACACTGGATAAAAATATCAAGATAGCTCAGCTCTAAAGTCTTGCTTGCCATTACTTTCCAGTCATGTATAATACATTTATAGTTAGTCACCTTCTAAGGAACTCATCAGCTCTTTGCCTATATTTAGAGAATCATCCTAATACTGTTAAAATACAAGATCTTTTTGATCGCCTATATTTATTCAAAATCATGCATGATTAGAAGCTCCTGAGATTCTTTAATAGAAACTAATAGCAGCTTACTTAACAGCACATTTTCCCTTAATAACTCAATACAGAAGACCTTGATATTTGGAAAGGAGAAAAACATCTTCATCAACCTTCAACATCTATGTATAGTATTGCTTGATTATCCCTTATATTTTATGACCCTGTTGATGCTAAAGATTTCATTCTTTAGTGGATCAAAAACATGTCTTATGACCAAGGACTGTCAACATGTTAACGCTTTTCACTTTTAACACACCAGCCTTGATATAGTTTACTTTCTTCCCAATAGTTATTATTTTATAGAAAAGCAGTGTTTATCACTTTATGGCAAGTACTGCAGAAGAATGAATGAATCAAGAAAAACAGAGTTGCCCTAATAGGGGAAGCTAGGCAATGGCAAGGTGCACTTTCTAGCTGCTAATGGACTCACATTATTCACTCACTTAATGGACTTGTTTCTGCATATCAGCTCAACAAAATGACATACCTCTGTACATCTCAATTCTCTCAGGTTATTTATGAATAGTCAAAAAACAGGAATGTTAAATCTATAAATGCCACACCCACTGTTCTTGTATAGCAAGTAAATCATTTATCAATCTAGGAACTGAAGAAACTTCATGCAACTTTTACATATATTTTCCTCAAAATTATACATGTTTTATAATCAGCTTTATTCATCTTATAATTTGTGAATAGCTCCATCCCGAACAGCTTCCTCACGTTACATCCTCTCATTTTTAGTCTTAGAGGATTTTGAGAATAAAGCTGCTGCTGTCAAATACACTTGCTCCATGGGGCTTCTTATATGTATAGTCTCTTCTGCTTCAGGTGTTCTATTTTCCTTTTATGTTTCAAGCATCCATTTTGATTTTCTGTCTTTTTACAGTGATCACATTATTCACTCACTTGATGGACACAACATTTAACTATGTGGCTCAGCCAGAGATAGATTCTAAAAAGCATCAGTGATTCTGCCGGTCATTCCATTAAAGAAGGGTATGTCCCAGAGAGAGGTCAAGTGTGAGGTATATGATACAAACCTGCCATTCCCATGATGGTCTCAATCAGCAGGTATTTTTCGGAGTATAAGCATATCAACGTATTGTTTATCATTCTAGTGTTGAAAAACTCAGCCTTTACAACACAAGCCTACTACTACCTCAGTTGGCAATCAACTGAAGAATCAGCCCAGACATTTGTTCACCAGACAACAAAGTGACTATTTGACCTACTGAGAATTGATGGGGCAGTTTCCAGTATGATCATAACTTTGTTGGGATTTTTCAAGGGGGTTTTAGTTATATGCAATTTGGCCTTGCTAACTTTAGAAACTAAGCCCCATGTAACATATGACTACACTGTATTGCTCGCAGAGGCTAGAAAAATAATATAAATTTAGGAGGTGGGCTGGGTCACTAGTTAGTTCTCTGTGGCTCAGCCTTCACTCAAGCCATTTACTGTATGGCCCCAGGGTATCTGAGTGCTATAATTCAGAAACAGGATTGGGAGGAGCAATCCTACTCGAGTTCTCCTGCAGTTATTAAATTGGTTGCTATTACATCTGGAGTTGGCCTAGAAAGGACTCCCACCTGATTATAGCTTTTCAGTCCCAGGACTTTCAAATTAAAGGGTATTCTTGGGCCTAGGAAATGAGGGGCTCCATTTCCTTTGATATGACTCATCAGTTCACTTTATCTAGGATTCCCTAAATTTCTGGTATAGAGGTAGCTCAATTTTCCCGAGTTTGCAGTTTCTTCAAGTTTCTCCCATTTTACAAATGAGGAGGGAAAAGTTGTACACAATATGCCATTTTATCTGGCATTCTCTTATTTTCTTAATAAGAATTACATTTATGTATATATTTATATGTAATAGTAACTGTGTTCAATCAAATTAAAATAGTTTACTATAGAAAAATGTTTTGGGCAAAACAGCAACTACGGCTGAAAATATCGTTTAGGTTTAGAATGGATTTGTGTCCTAGAAAACCAAACCAAGCTATGAAGTTTCTTATCAAATACAAAGCACATTGGCAAGTCCCTGCTAGATCCAACTTCATAGCTGGTTCAGAATTTCGGCTGCATTTAACACCAAAAGGGGAAAATAAGACCAAAGCTGCATTTTTTTAAACATAGTAAATACCATCAAGATGTCCATCATATTTCTCATGGATCATTTGGAAACAGTCTTAACCTTCTGCAGATGTAGACGTTTCAAGGACCTCTCTGATAAGCAAGTTCAAATGCCTGAACATTTACCAACGTTCCAACACAGCTACAGATTTGCTTGTGGGGTAAAGTATAAATAACATGTCAGGTGCCAGACTGCGTCCATTGGCATTCAGCCCAGTTACTCTTCTCTAAACAATCCCCCAAATCACTACAGTTAGAAACCTTAAACTACATTTTCCTAGACCGCTGATGGTACCTACGCCAAATTAAAAGGCATGGGGGAACGAATCCATTCTGTTCCTGGTGATGCCAATGACAATGTACAGAAAGCAGTAGGCCATGTCAGCTCCTGGCCTCAGAATAGTGTTCACTCTTGCAGAGTGTCAACAGCTTTCTGTAATCCCTTACCTGTGGAAACATTATGTTCACCTTCTGCTCTTCTATCCCTTTTAATAATTTATAACCTAATATCCTAAATCACAGCCCTGTCTGTCTGAAATACCCATAGTAGTTTCTATTCTCCAGAAAGGACACTAACTGATAAACTCAGATAAAATAGGCAATTTATCCCTACAGTCATGTTTAAAAATGTAAAAGGGGAAAAAGAATTTGGTGGGATTGCTTGTTTCTGGACATCCTTTAAAGGAATTCCTAAGCATTTACCTTGCTAGAAAGAAAATACATCCCCCGAAAAGGTTTGTGATATATAAGAAAATAACAAAGAAATTGTTTATACATGCATGTACATGGACAAAGTCACTTTTCTAATCCCCTTCCAGCTTTACTGAGATATAATCGACACATTCACTCTTTTAATGTGTTAACATGAGGTAAAAACAGAACAAAAATGTTATATAACAGTACAGTATTTTTAGAGTTTAACTGTTCCGTGGTACTGTATTGTTAAGAAAAAGAGTTTATGATATTTTACATTCTGTTAAGGATGCATGATAAAATTTCAAAGGGAACCACCTAAGTAATAGAAACAAACTAATAGTGGTGGCAAAATGGGAGAAGAAAAGAAAATCAATTTTAAAAAAGGAAAGAGAATGGTAATAAAATAAAGATCTAAGAGAAGAAAAATGTAAAATGAGAGAAATTAAACCCAAGATGTCAGTAACCACAACAAACATAAATGAGCTGATACACTGCCTATTTAAGTCTAGCAGCTGAATTTAAAACAACAGCTACCGCTTGCCAAGTACAAAGGAAACATACAGGGAAATAAAACATACCAGGCAAATGCTAACCAAAATAGAGCTAGTACATCTATATTATTAGATAACACATTGAGACAAAAAGAATTATTAGGGATACAGAAGATCTAAATATTCATTCCTCTAAAAAAAAAAAGCCTCAAAATATATAAAGCAAAATTTGACAGAATTACAGGGAGAAACTAACAAATCTATCAGCATAGATTTCAAAACAACTTCAATTATTGCTAGGTAAAAAAGACAAAATAGTTGAAATATTTGATTTTAATTCTCAGCCTAACAATTAGGAAATGCATATTCTTCTCAAGGAATAATAGAAAAACTGACTAAACACTAGATCACAAAGCAAGCCTTAACCATTTTCATCCAGACCACCATCTACACCTGTAATTAATTAGGTTAAAAGTCATCATTAATAAAAAATACATATCCTTGCCATTTGGAAATTAGAACTCATTACTAAATAATTCATGGTTAAAAAAGGAATCATGTGAATAAAAAAAAAAAAAAACAACTTGGGACTCACTAATAAAAATTCTACACATATCAAACTTGTGCGATACAAGTGTCTCTTATGAGCTTATATTAGATAAAAAAACTAAAACTCAATGAGCTATGTATCTAAATTGAGAAATTAGACAAAGAATGGAAGCCGAAGAGAATAGGAGAAAATAAAAAGCAAAAATTAATGAAACAGAAAACAAAGATACAATAGAGAGGCTTGACAAAGGGGGGAAATAACAAGCTTATTAAACCAAGAAGTGTTTTTTAGAATTCAAATCTGGTTTTAAAATTTTATTTTCCAAGATACCTTTGTGTTGTACAGCAATTTTACTACTTTTTAAAAATAGATGCCGCAGTGAATTCACTTAGCTGATAATATTTTATTTGGGGAAGAAGGGGTAGAAGAAGCATCATTAGAATTCTTGAACTTCTGACTATTGGATTCAAACTGGGAAAGCAGAAACCCAGAATATTTTAACAAAGATATATGCTTATGACGTAAACATAAAAATTAAAAACTGTATCTTAAATCACAGTTATCCTCTTGACAAGTACCTATGCCCCAAAATGATCTTTGTTGAATACTCTATACTTAGCAAAGGGTATAATAAATGTTATTAATAAATGTTAGGCACTTGTAATTTTGTGAACTATTCTATTGAAATATATTAGCTATTCTTTCTCTAAGTAGGTGGGGTATAAGGTATAAATACATATAGAAAGAACATTCACATAATTAAGGATTATTTTGTACTCTATCATGGACTGATATTAAGTCTGAATGACTGATACCACTTTTTACCGTTCAGCAAAGTTTCACAGCAACACCAGCAATAAAAATTTGACCACTCTAAGCAAATTCCCCTTTATCTCCTAAGCAATATTTTCACTTTTGCACCGATTGATGACTACATAGAAAAGATTAATGAAAGCCAACAAATCCTTTGAGATTTGCCAGGAAGGTACCAATAGCATCAAGTTCTATGGAAAATACTACAGTCCTCTTAAGACCTTGCTTCTTGCCCAGTGCCTGGCATTTTATGGCTGTCCAATAAAATGAACAAATACAATGTATTCCAACACTTTCAATAAATCTAAGAAACTTTCTAAACACCTGATAGTTTCATCATTAGCTTATCTTTGAAATATTTAACTGCCGTATAGCAAACTGCTAAGATAGCAAGGAGAAACATTTTTAGAAAACTTTAAGGTTTACCTTTAAGACTGCTAAGAATGGCTAGCCGCACACAAACTAAATTAGAATGTTATTCTCTGAATTGAAAACACTCTAGTAACCTTTTGGTTACCAAAAGCAGTATGTCAAAACACCCCCAGAAAATGCCAATAGTAACTGCACTTTAAAAACTGGGAAAACAAGAAAGCAATTTATATCCACTTTATTGATGACATATGGAAATAATTTAAATAATAGTTCTCGTCCTCTTCCACCACTCGAAAAACGCACCAATCATGTCTTTTAAAGTGACAGAAATATTTTAGTTGAGAGCTCTACTTGAGTTAGCCTCCTCCAAGACAATACCTTACTAACTTAATTTGATGAATCTGGTAATGAAGACTTTAGAAAACCCACTGAGATCTATTTTAAAAAATTTAAAAGCCACAATATACATATAAAATACACACACATGCAAAATCCCTCTACTTTTTAAAAATTTATTTTTATAACTGACATGCCATATTAGTTTCAGGTATATAACACACTGATTCAACATTATGTACCTTACAAAATGATCACAATAAGTGTAGTAACCATTTATCACTATCCATAGTGATATTACATCCTCCACTTATTTTATAACTGAAAGTTCGTACTTAATTAGCTTCCTCCTTCCATTCAGACTTAAGTAGGTCTAAGCTAAGGTTTTTATATTACCATAGTCTTTCGCTCCTTTTTTTTTTTTTTTAAACTGTAGTACTAGCAATGCCTTTGTATTGGAATAATATTTTGGCAAAAGTTTCAACTGAAAGTTCTGAGAAAAATTCATTCGACCAGCATTTTCTGAACAATGCCAGGTACTATGCTAGGTGTTTTGGGACAAAAGATAAAGGAGGTCCCTGAACTTAAGATGCTCACAATGAAAACAGAATTATGTATTTTAAATCTCTACAAGCCTCTTCTCACTCCCAGGACCAGAGTGCATACCTATCTTAGCTTAGTGGTATTCAAAGTGGAATCCACAGAGGATAGAATCATGAGGCCTCTGGTAAATTTTTAAAAATGTTTTATTTCCACTTTAATGATAATCTAAAAGAAAAATATAAGCATATTCTAATGCATCTGAATTTCTATCTTATATCTAAGTAGTGCTATGTGGCTTACTTGTCTGAGCTTTCATTTACAATGAGACTCAGTGGTATTACTCCTATAGTACAGGATGAGAAAAGAACAGAATCGAATTACAACTTAAATGATGTATCTATGACTCTACAGTTAAATGACCACATAGTTTACTAGTAAAGAGAACTGAGTCATCTCATATGGCCTTAGAGAAGTGTTAATTTGCCATATTAAAAAAGCTCTCACACTTGTTAACAATTGCTACCATAGTCTTAATAGTAAAAATTTTCACCAAAATATGATGTCACTCTGAATTAATAGACTGGTTTGTTTGTATTTAATTTTTCATTTTAAAGTATATAAAATAGTTTATACTTATTTTTACATTTGTATACCTTTAATTAATAACACAATAATAGTGGTCTATACAGTTTGTCATCTTAACAACGGTGCACAAACTACTCACGTAGAGAAATAGTGACAAAGCTCTTTATATAGGGCTCATCTCTTTATCTTAATTTTTCAGAGACAATAGTCTACTGTACCATAAAACTGTAAAGGTATTTTAGCTGAATAATTTGGCTTTAATTAAAAGGTCTACTGGGTACACAGACAATAATGCAATAATTTAGGTCCTCTACTTTTCCAAATAGAAGAAACTGGTGATTTGGCCCATAGGAACAAAGAAGTGACTCTGCACATTTTCCTCATGTTGAGGAATGGTATCCACAACTGCAAGCACTCAACATCTACAGCCAATCCTTATTTCAAGATGGGACATTATTACTAACACTTTGTTATTAATGACAGCAACCCTAAAACCAAAAAACCTGAAATAGATTTTTAATGTGAACACTCATGAAAATATTCAAGATATCATTAATATTGTTGAGACATAATATTAGGCTATTTCAAGTTAAAGCATTTATACTGTAGAAATCAACACTTTAAAACTTTGGCAACATACTAACAAACCTCATAAGAGAAAACTACAGAGCAGCTATTATTGTACATCAGAAGTCAAAACTGAAAAAAAAAAAAGTGAAAACTGAGGATGATTTCAGTGTTAAGGACAAGACAGCATAGACATGGGTCTGTTTTTCTGGATTCCTAAATCCCAAGCAATAATGAGTACCATGATACATATTTTACAGTAAATGTTAGTTAATATTACTATAAATATTTTTAACCCTTAAACTATACTTTTGCCCCCCCCAAAGTCCACTACTTTACAAAGTGTGAAAAATATCCAACATAGTTTTTATTGGAATATTCTTGAATAATGTGGTAACTTGGTCTTAAGTTATTGCTGTTTTGTTTTTCTCCAGTTAACAAGTAATACTACAACATAATTACCCAACTCAGGAAAAGTTAACATAGTCAATAACAAATGGAATGGGTTTAGAACACTAATCAACTTCCCAACCTGACGAAGAGCCTGGGAAGAACATTAAGCAGAAACTCCTACAAAGTACAAGCGTTAGACCAAATCTTATTCATGATAATGCAGTCTGAGTTTTTAAAAGTGTTGCTAACTCCATAATTTAGGTAACAAGATATTATGGGCCTTTGTGGCCCAGCCACAAGTACTCACGATGGTAAAACAGCAGAAATAATTATGGTGGAAAGGGCTAGAACTAGCCTAGATAAATTATAAAGCCTTTATATTCGTAATTTGAATAACTGAGGATTATTTCCC